CCAAGAGATGGTTCCCCTCCTGTTTGTAGGCTCCCTTTAGGTACAATGAGGTCACCCTGCAGCCTTCTTTTCTCCGGGCTGAACAAGCCCCGCTCCCTCAGCCTGTCTTTGTAGGGGAGGTGCTCCAGTCCCCTGACGGTCTTCGTGGCTCTGCTCTGGCCCTCTCCACCACCTGTCCTTCCTGTACTGGGGGCTCCAGACCTGGACACAGTACTCCAGATGGGGCCTCACAAGAGCAGAGTAGAGGGGGACAGTCACCTCCCTGTCCCTGCTGGCCAACCCCTCTTCCGATGGAAAGCCTCCCTCCCAGCTCAGCAGACCACCTCACCTATTGGCTTCCTCCTTCACAACAAACCTAGCCAAGGCCTCCACCACAAAGAAAGCTCTTGCCAAAAAGAACGCAGCTACCCAAACTGAGTGCCTACCCAGAAATGCAGCTGTTCAGGTCTCAGGGGATGAAGGCCATAAAGACAAGGGTTTGAGAACAACCCAAGCACCTTTGGCAGGGAGGTGATCAGATGGCCACAGGGCAAGAGGAAACCGGTTTGGGGGGATGCCCCCCCAAAAGGTCAGGAGTTTACAGCGAGAAAAGTCAGAAGCCCTCGCGAGGGAGACAACAAATCTTCATCCCACGACCCACTGTGCACGAGCACGAGGGGAGGGTCTGCACGCTAATGAACTCTCGGGGGTGTAATGAATATGTATCCCAATTCCAGGAAAACTATTGGTTATATATTAGTTTGGCCTATATCTCTAGCACGGTTTTTCCAGACGCTGCGCAGGGCAGGTGGATCTATCCCCCTTGCACCTGGTGTCTGCGCAGCACTGAATAAACCAGACCTGCTTTGTAATCTTGCTTGGGTTACAGAGTTTGATTCCGCACGTCACAACCTCTGCTTTAGGCAGGGACACCCCCAGCAGACCAGGCTGTTCACAGCTCCATGCAGCCTGGCCTTGAATGCTTCCAGGGAGGGGGCATCCACAGCCTCGCTGGGCAACCTGTTCCAGTGTCTCACCACCCTCACAGTAAAGCATGACTTCCTAGTATCTAGCCCAAATCTACCCCCTTCCAGCTTAAAGCCATTTCCCCTCGCCCCGTCGCAACATGCCCTTATAAGACGTCCCTGCCCAGCTTTTCCATAGCCCCCAGTCGAGAACTGATGGGCCGCTATAAGGTCTCCTTGGAGCCTTCTCTTCTCCAGGCTGAACAGCCCAAAGCTCCCTCAGCCTGTCCCCATCGGGGAGGTGCTCCAGCCCTCTGATCACCTTCATGGCCCTCCCTTGGCTCTGCTCCAACAACTCCATGTCCTTCCTGTGCTGGGGGCTCCAGAACTGGACGCAATAGTAATGTCGAACTTCGGGGCATGGTTTAGTGGGCAATATCGGTGAGAGGTGGACAGTTGGACTAGGCGATCTTAGAGGTCTTCTCCAACCCTCCTTAAAGATTCTGGGATCTATGATTCTATGATGGTAAGAACGGGAGGCAGAAGAGGCACAGCTCACAGAGGCAACAGTAACCTCCTGTTCAACTCCCGACCACGGCCGAGCTGAGAGATATGGGAAAAGACTTCAGCCGTCACGCGGGTGAGCACTGTGCTCCCTGGCTGCTCTGATAACAGGAGAATGGGGCCCGTGGCCCGGACTTGGTGGGCAATGAAGCCAGGCATCTGGGATCCCCTTGAAGGGATGCTGACAAAGCAATTGGAAAAGGGATATCTGATTTCATGGTATGGAAGTGATTCTTTCTCTGCCATGAAGGGGGGAAAAGTATCCTTTCAAAGAAGATCTGGTACGTCACCCAGGCAAGTGGAAAGGTGTCGAGGGAAACCAGAGGGAACTAGCTGTGCTTGGAGGTGGTGCACAAAATTGAACAAAGACAAAAGATAAATATTTGACGCTGGGAGGAAATTCTTGAACTGGAGGGCAGTGGTGCACTGGAATAGGTTGCTCGGAGAAGCTGTGGAGCTGTTACCCTCTTGCGTGGGAGATGAGGGCCCGCACCCACATCCCCCATGAGGTGGTGACCACGATGCCACAGAGGGTGGCAGGGAGCAGCCACTGAGACTCACAGGGCCGGGAATCACGCCTACTTTTGGTGCCAAACTTGAACGGCCTTTGACAAGTTCAGACTCAGAGCAGCGTTGCTTATTTCAGGGACTACTCTGGCTTCACGGAATTGGGATCCACGTGGCTTCAGGGAATTGAGATCCACGTCAGTTCCACAGGAACAAGACTAGAAAAATGTTTATAAAGAAAGAAATATGGAAACGCTGTAAAAACAAACCAACTGTCTGCTGGTAGCCACAGCAATTCTTACTGGACTGTCTTTTGCCAGTCCCCTTAAACCTCTCCTTTCACCTACAATTTACAGGGCAAACAGCCTTTCAGAGCAGAAAGCAGAGCTCAGGATGCTCTACCACCACACTCTCGACTAACACCCGTGTCTTTTGAGGTGGTCACTGACCCCCTGCCAGGCTGGATCTTCATCTCACCCAACGCAGTTTTCCTGCCGAAATTTAGATGTAGACTTGAAGGGAATCGTGGCCTGGGTAGGCCAGTTTCCCTCCACTGACTGCAGAACGGTTGAAGCTTTGATGCATGTAGATAAATGGTTCTTCTGAGCTGGACAGACCCAAAGACAAATGCTCGTCATTCCGCAAGGCAAGATGCCAGCCTGCTTTTCATCTCTGGCTCGACTCATCACTGCTGAGTGAGCTGCAGGGCCTTTCTTCACTTCTTCGCAAAGTCTTGGAATTTTTCACCTTCAGTGGGACTTCCCTATGGCTGTCTAGTAAAAGTATTTGAACACTCAAACACTCAGGTTAAATAAAACAATGAAACAGTAACTTAAAGGAATAAAGAGGAATGACAAAAGTTTGGGAAAATGGGAGCAGGCAGGTTTTCTCTCTGGAGAGAGAAGAGAAGGAGCCAAAATGTCACTGCAGTGAAAAAGGCTCCAAAAGAAGAGAGAGCTTAAAGCTGAGCTCAGCTGCAGTCACGAACACTCAAGCCACGCTAGAAGGAATATGCTTGGGCAGCTCACTACCATGATGTTTTGGGGTTTCCTTTCTGTTCCTTCAACCAAGCTACATACTGAATCACATACGTGTCTTTACGCACATCATTTACACTTTCCTTGCTGCCTGTCGCACAGAAGCAGACCCTGGAGCTGTGCGCTTCAGACAAACACTGAAGATACGACGCTAAGGTCGTGGCTACGGTACAGCAGCAGAGTTTGTTACCAAAGTATCACAGAAAGACTCGGGTTGGAAGGGACCTTACAAGCTGCACTAATCCCAACCACCTGCCGTGCCAGATTTGACACCGTAGAAGCTTGGAATAGGGCCCCATCCAGCTTCTCTGGGCAGCCTGTGCCCCTGCCTCACCAATCTCGCGGAAAAGAATTTCCTCTAAGACTGCATCTGATCTCCTCTTCTAGATTAAAACTAGATTAAGCCATGTCCTATCCCTACCAGACCTTGTAAAAAGTCACTCACCACACACTAGACACCAAATATGCTGTTAACTTGCAATCTTTACTAGACTAGGCTCAGATCAGTAGCGCTGGCGTGGCACCAGGGCTGCAAATGAGCCCAAGGGAACGATGACTCCAGCATCTGCCACGAGGAGCAGTGCCAGCAGGTTGAGGGAGGCTGTCCTTCCTCTGCTGCACAGCAGCACCGGGTCCTCACTCTGTGCTGCCTGCAAGGGCTGCCACCCTCTTGCTTGAGGGCCCGCGCCCACACCCTCTGTGAGGCAGCGACCGTGATGTCACAGTGGGTGTCACAGAGCGGCCATTGTGATGCACGAAGCTTGGAGCAGAGCAAAGGCTGCCGGGCTCGGGCAGAGCGTCAGTGCGGTCTGGTGAGGCGCAGAGAGAGCAAGGACTCTCGCAGTGCTCGCTATCAACGCACAATCATGTCCGATAGGAAGAGGAAGGCCTCCGGCTCGCAGGAGCCAGGTGAGAGCACAGCATCCCTGTGCACAGCTCCTGCCAACAGGCAGAGGAGTGCTGGGGCTCTGTCTGCAGGTGGGAGGCAAGGAAAGCACAGGCACGGATGCCCCAACTGCCGCAAGGCAGGGCCCCTCTGCTCCTTGGCAAGGGAGTCTGGCTTGGCCCGTGCCTGCCTTGGCCTTGCCACAGCCCCTTCCCCTCCACCGCCTCCACCGCTCCAGAGCAGGACCCTGGCGACAGCCCTCAGGGACACCTGGCCCTGCCAGCTGCTCACCGCTGCTCACATTTGCTCTCTCCTCTGCAGTATGCATCCTGTGTGGCCGGGCAGATGTCGACCCGGACATCTGTGGGAACATGCTTTCCGAAAGTGGGATTCATGTCCATGAGTTCTGCTTGGTGAGTTCCCCCATGGGCTCCTTCCAGATTACCACCAGGGATGCTCCTTTCCTTTCTGTCCTAATGAGGTCCTGCTCTTTTCTCTCCTACAGGAGTTTGCCGAAATCCCTTCTGAAGCAAGACCAACGCAGTCGGGAACTTTGGGCCTCCCTGTTGATGCCATCAGACGTGCAGTCAAACAGGCCACCAAGCAGGTGAGGACCTGCACGGAGCAGGCAGATTTGTGCCAGGAGGGGCTCACACCAGTTTAGTCTGGACCAAGGAAAGCAATCGCAGCCGTTCCAACCACCTCCACGACAAAGTGCTGCCACAGGAGATGAGCCCTGTCTGCTAGGCATCTTTGTAGAATGTGACCCAGCTGGCTGTGCCCAGAGGTGCGGGGCCAGCCACTGAGGCCCTGAGGTCTGTTGCTGACGGGTTTGTTCTGCTCTTTCCAGCAATGCTTTGTTTGTGGCGAGAGGGGGGCTGCCATCACATGCGTGGCGACAAGCTGTCAGCGAAGCTTCCATCTGCCCTGTGCCATGGACGGGGAATGTGTCACCCACTTTTTTGGGTACCGTTGGTAAGGGCCGGCAGCAGCAGCCAAGCCAGGGAGGAACCCGCACTTACGCCTCCCAGCAGCCTGCCAGAGACAGAGGCAGGGCCTGAGGCTCCTTCCTGCTCCTCTGCCCTCCTCACAGCACTTCTCACTGTGACCACGTCTTCCCTCTTCCCCCAGGACCTTCTGTCCGGAGCACCGCCCTCAACAGGACATTTCTGAAGCTCCAGCAGAAGGCACCAACTGCCTCATCTGCCTTGAGCCTGTGGGGGACAGCTTGTCCTACCATACCCTGGTGTGCCCAGCATGCCAACATGCCTGGTTCCACCGGGGCTGCATCCAGGTAGGAGCCCTCCCCTCACGCTGTACGCACGCTTGGTGCTCAGCAGCACCAGGCACTGCTCACACTCACCCTGCTTGTGCTTCTCCTGCAGCAACAGGCCTTGATTGCTGGCTCTTTGTGCTTCCAGTGCGCTGCTTGTCGAGACAGCATTCTGTTCTTTGCAGAAATGGCCATTCTGGGGATCCGAATCCCATACAGGTTGGTGTCCTTCTGCACAATTTGGCTGACGTTAAGGCTGTTGTGCTGAGCCTGCCCAGGGACTGCCTTTGCAGGTCTGGCCCTTGGCTGTCTCATGAGCACGTGCCCCAGCTTCATAGAGAATCTGGAAGTAGAGTTGGTGTGGATATGTTTGGATAACCTTGGATCTTATGTTGGGGCACTGGGGGCTCATCATTTCCTCTCCCTTCTCTTGTAGATTACCAGCATGGGAGGACAACAACGCATATGAAGCACTTCTCCAGAGGCACAGCCACTGTGATGCCAGCGAATGCCTGTACCATGGAGGCAGAGAGCAGGCCGAGAGCAGTGGGTGAGTTATCGCAGCAGCTCACTGCGGCTCTGTGGGGGATCTCAGCCTCTCCACAGGCTGGCGGAGCAAGGACTGAGCACCAGAGATGTGCTGTGCTGGGCACTCCCTGGCTTGGCTCACTTGGTCCTCACGGCCACAACCGCTTTGCTTCCCCAGGCCCTGGCAGCTGCTCCTGTGCAGCTCCTGCGCTGCTGAGGGCACCCACCGACAGTGCTCCCACTTGAATGACACCACAGCCACATGGGAGTGCAACAGCTGTGCTGCCCTGCGTACCGGTAAGAGGCAATCTGTGCTCAGGGCAGCTTTGCCAGAGTCTGTCCGCCCCAAGTGGGATGGCAGATCCCACTGTGGTGCTGCAGCTTCAGACTCATGACCTCCCTGCCTCCCTTTACAGCCTCCAGTGCCAACACCGAGCTTGCTGGGCCCTGCACTGTCAGCGAGAGGGCTCCGGGACCATCCAGCAGCTCCATGGAGCCTGAGACCTTGGGCTCCATGCCCGCCAGCCAGGCAGCATTGGGGACGACATCACAGAGTTCCCAGCTGCCTGAGCACAGCGACCTGCCCAGGGTGCCTGAGACTGAGCAGGAGACAAACGGCCCCCGGTCATCGGAGGATTACGCTGCCTCTGAGCAGCTGCAAGGACGCCGTGGGAGCAGACATTCAGCAGCCCCGAGTGCTGAGAGCGACTCCCACACATCCACCAGGCGGAGGGCATCAGGGTCCTCCAGGGCGTCCCCGGCAGCTGCTCGCAGAAGACGTCCCAGGCAGCGGGGAAGAAGCCGCACACGAAGCCGCTCCCCGCTGCGAGGTCGGGCCCCGAGTTCCCGGAGCCGGCCAAGAAGACGCCGTGGCAGCCGGCAAACGCCAGCCCCAGGGCAGCGGAGCGGCACCCGGTCAAGGTCTGCCACTTCCAGATCCCCGAGGGCTTCCAGAGTGCCCGGACGCAGGGGACCGTCCAGGCAGCGACGGCGCACCCGCACCCGCAGCCCTCCTCCGCAGAGACGTCGGGCTCAAAATTCCCGCAGCTCACGCCAAGGAGGCAGCAGGAGGCGGGCTCAGTGGCGGAGGACATCGCGGGAATGAAGCTGCTCCCAGGAACAACTTCAGAGACAAAGTCCCCACACACAGCCCCCAAGTCTGCGTAGGAGCAGCCGAGCGCCCGTCATAGAGTGGGTTGAAAAGACCACAACCATCATCTAGTTTCAACCCCCCCCCTGCTATGTGCAGGGTCACACCCCCCTCCCATCTCCCCTGCTTGCTCTGGTCCAAAAAGTCCAACACAATAAAGATCAGAGATTCCCCCCCACACACATTTGTCAGCTTCATCCTTCCCTGCTTTTGCTGAGGTGGGCACAGGTAGGGGCCTTGGCAACACGGTTGTCTCCTCCATGAATGCGCTATCCCAGACCTCACTTCACCTGGCCCAGTGCGGGCTGAGCTGGGTTCGGGCCACATCCCCAGCGCGGCACACGGCCCACATTCCTCAAGAACCCAGGCCGCACTGGCAGGAGCAGCCCGGTTCTGGGCTTGTGTCTGGGCTTGGGATGCCACCGTGTTCAGGGTGCATGCCAGGTCCACGGCTGCTTTCAGCTGCGTCGGAGCTCGGGCTTTCCTCCTGCATGTCAGCTCTGAGGGGGAACGGTTCTCAGCTCAGCCAGGGAAGGTTTAAGGTGGATGGCAGGAGGAAGTGCTTCACCGAGAGAGTGCTGACGTGCTGGAATAGGCTGCCCAGAGAGCTTGTGGATGCTCCATCCCTGGAGATCTTTGCAGCTGATGACACCTCAGCAGGCCCTGCAACCGCTCCAACCCTCCAGCGGAGTCGGCAGGTGCTCCGGCTGTCGTGACGGAGCCTGCACTTGCTTCAACCCTGGTGACAGGCCCTGCCGTTGTGACTGGCCCTGTAGTTGTCCAGCCCTTACGCTGGGTAACGGGGTTGCACGAAGCCCTGTGACGGGCCCTGCAGCAGCACAGGTGCCTGTGAGAGGACTTGTGGTTCAGCCACAGAACCATCTGTGCCAGTCAGACACCCGTATTCACACTTGTGTCAGTTCACAAGACGAGAAAGCGGCTGAGAAAGTCGGCGCATTGCTAAGATGGGAATGGGGGAATAGGATGAGAACGAAGCCGAGCCATCGCAAGAGATCTGCGGGAAACAGTTCAGGGAGAGGCAGGGACCCGCAGTCCCCTCACAGTGTGGAAGCACAGTGGCTCTGTGGCGCTGTGAGCGGAGCCAGGAGTGACGTGGTCAAATGCTGGATGTACAAAGGCTGCTCTCGGGAGCGTGATCAACCAGGAACGTGGCGGAACAGAGCCAGAGCCAGAGCCTGCAAACAGACTGTGGCACGGCCGTTGGCGCAGGCAGGGCGAGCAGGGAAGGCAGAGCCTCACAGAATCACAGAATGGCCGGGGTTGGGAGGGACCTCAAGGATCAGGAATCTCCAACCGCCCTGCCTCACACAGGACCACCAACCCCCACGTTTAATACCAGACCAGGCTGCCCAGGGCCCCATCCAGTCTGGCCTTGAACACCTCCAGGGATGGACGGGGCATCCACAACCTCTCTGGGCAGCCTGTTCCAGCACCTCTCCACTCTCTCTGAAAAGAATTTCCCCCTGACATCCAACCTAAATCTTCCCTCCCTCAACTTCAAACCATTTCCCCTTGTCCTGCACTTATCTACCCTTTCCAAGAGATGGTTCCCCTCCTGTTTGTAGGCTCCCTTTAGGTACAATGAGGTCACCCTGCAGCCTTCTTTTCTCCGGGCTGAACAAGCCCCGCTCCCTCAGCCTGTCTTTGTAGGGGAGGTGCTCCAGTCCCCTGACGGTCTTCGTGGCTCTGCTCTGGCCCTCTCCACCACCTGTCCTTCCTGTACTGGGGGCTCCAGACCTGGACACAGTACTCCAGATGGGGCCTCACAAGAGCAGAGTAGAGGGGGACAGTCACCTCCCTGTCCCTGCTGGCCAACCCCTCTTCCGATGGAAAGCCTCCCTCCCAGCTCAGCAGACCACCTCACCTATTGGCTTCCTCCTTCACAACAAACCTAGCCAAGGCCTCCACCACAAAGAAAGCTCTTGCCAAAAAGAACGCAGCTACCCAAACTGAGTGCCTACCCAGAAATGCAGCTGTTCAGGTCTC